ACCTGTGTGTGACAACACACACACACACACACACACACACACACACACACACACACACACACACGCACGCGCACACCAATTGTGTCGCAGTCAGGGGCGTGTTTTAAAAATATATTCAGGATGGAGATAATTATAATGCATTCAATGAATTGATTTCAACAGTGATTCAGCGGTTTTGATGCACGCTGATGTCTTATTTATGAATGATATACGATCGCATCCGCCACACTTGGCAACGTGACGGAGAATCTGTCTGCCTGTACTTGGATCGCGTTTCATGCTGTGCACCACAACTTAGACCTGTTTTCAGCTGGTCTAAAGTGTAGTCTACTTTCTGTCCTCAAATTGTCAGGTGCACCGGGTGCGTGAAATAGAAGATAGCCTCAAACCACCGGAACACCCAGCAAGGCATAGCGCGGTCTGCAAAACCCCAAACGTGGTAAAGTAGACTTGCCCCGGCAATAAAATGGAAGATGCACCAATTTTTACACCGAGTACACGCCTGTCTACAAAAATAGGGTCCTATGAGTGGAGCGAGAAAACTTCATCAACATCAAAGAGTAACTTCCAATATTTTATGAATGGAATTTAAAGAAAAAGAAGAAGAAGAAAAAACGTTGTCTCACAATGGAGAAATTTGCAAAAATTATGAAAAAGAGAAAGTAGAAAAACAAATGCATGCACAAGAAAACACCGTTTAAAAAACGTTTAAAAAAATGGACTTTACACAGTACAGAGTGAAACGTATGTATAAGCATATATGCATATGCAAGAAAGAACGTCATCTCTTTTTGAATACTGTTGAATACAACAGAGAGTGTATTCAGAACCATTTGTGTTACTTGTTTCCTTTTTTCGGCTAATATGTCGCACTCCCACCCACACTCGTACGCTCTAATTAGCATTTCTCAATCCGAACCTAAGTGACCTTTAGTTCGCTAACATTTGCAATGAGCGACTTGAGCCTTGGCTTCTTTTCCCATCACTCCATCCTGCAGATCAATAATCTATCCACCGAAATAAGGTCCAGTCCGTGTGCCAAGAAGCTGCAAAAGATCCCAATAAATGTGAGCAAAACTCTCAATTTGTGGCTTTTTTGCTGTGGCTGTGTCCGACAGGGCCCTGGTTAAAAAAAACCTTGAGGTTTGTTTGCTGATGGTTCTTTTTGGAAACTTGCGGTTTTGGTGACATTCGTAGCCATCTATTGGGCTGTGCTGCCGTATTGCTTCTTATTATTCAGAGTTGAAGAGAATTGTTCTTGGCAAGACAGGGCTAACATTTTCCTACGGCACAAACCTCCAGTTGTCCTCCGTGGATGATGATGAGCAAGCTCACGTCGGGCTCCTCCTGCAGTCGCTATGGCCGTTGACATATCCTTTGCATCTGTGACTTGTATAAATAGATTACTCTGACTTAGTCTGTTCTCGCAGGCCTCATGGTTTTTTTTTTGTTTTTTTTGGGGGAGGGTGGATACAAGCCAACACATGTGCATAATGGGCCTTAAACAAAACAAAAAAAAAATCTCTCTGGCGCGTTTCTGCTGGCCTTTCACATTAATTTAGTTCTGGAAATGAACAGAGCGGGATTTAGCTCCGTCAAGTGTTTTAGACTGTGACACGTCCTGTAAAAACAAAGGCTCTCCGTCACTTCACACGTCTCCGCTCGGCGCTGTGTTTTCTTTGTGTGCGCGCTTGGTCATCGTGGCATGTCAATACGAATGGCGCTAAAGTGGCGTTGAAAGACTCCTGACTCTGTCCAATAACAAAAGCTGTGCACTGAAACTTTAATAATGGGAGGGAGTCGGTCCCTCGACTGCCCGTTGCGAATGCAGCCGGTGTGGACACGGTGAGATACATAAACACACATCGATGCATACCGCTAATGAGCGGAATGGTTGTGCAGGTGGCTGCACTTTCATCAAGCCATAACTGGATTTGTTTTTGGTTGAGGTCATACGGGCCAGGGCGAGAGTTACACACACACACACACACACACACACACACGCACACACACGCACACACACACACACACACACACACACACGCACGCACACACGCTTTCTAATTACCCTGGTTGCAGTGTTTTCTCTTCTCCGCGAGACATATTGACATGTCAGCGCTCAGCCGGCTAGATACAGAACAAATGGACATTTTAGTTCTGTCTGTGTAGTGGAAAATCTATCCTTCTCAACATAAGCTAGCCTCTATTTGGACTTGTCTCAGTGAGCCGGCGCAAAAGTCACTTTGAAATGACATCTGCAATAAATCACAGCTCCAGCAGCAGTCAGTGGCCAATCACATTTTCCCTCTTTAATTAATATTGTATTTATTTGCATGGTGGGGTTCTGTTGCTCTTTCTGTCTGTCAGCGTCTATGCGTGTGCATGCGTGTGTGTGTGTGTGTGTGTGTGTGTGTGTGTGTGTGTGTGTGTGTGTGTGTGTGTGTGTGTGTGTGCGTGTACAGTACGTGTCAGTGTTTTCTGCATATGTAATTATACACGCGTGTTCATACTGTACGTCAGTGTTGAAAGGGAATCGCAATGCGGTTCCTATTTGTGATGAAACAAAATGCAATTGCAGCTGTTCAATGTACAGATATCAATATTCTATGAAATTGCATTGTGATCTTAGTACACTGTCACTGTCCACGTATGTTCCACCGTGCCCTTCCTTTACTGACAAATTTAAGTCTCAACCTAAACCCGAACAAGATAAAACATTGATGTTGCTCTGATCACATTTCACACGGCGCAGTGTCAGTACAATGATATGGAATCGCTCCACAATTATTATATGATGGATGCTCTTCTACATTTATCCACTGTAGCTATCATGATGTAGCGGAAAATGTACAATGGATACATTTTCACCATTCAGGGTGGCAGTTATTGCGTAATGACTGAAAGAAAAGCTTTTCGTTTGCAAAACATTCCTTCTCTACTTTAGGAAAGCAAATCAAACACCTCTTGAGTGAGTATCACTTTTCAGTAACCATTCTTTCGCAGCCAAAACGGGATCAAAATGCGGTCTACATACACGAGATCTATTTTCAGCATATTTTTGATTGTCATTTTGTCCCTCCACCCTCCCGCCTAGAACTAAAAAAGACAAAGCTTGCCTAATTGTCATGCTTGTTGATACTACTCCACTACACATATGTATATATATATATATTTGTGCCGGTGGTCCGGTGGTTCGCACGTCGACCTCACAGTGCAGAGGTACCGGGTTCAATCCCATGCAGTTCTCCGGGTACTCCGATTTCCTCCCACATCCCAAAAACATGCATGGCAGGCTGATTGAACACTC